ATAGTGCCCAAGTAAATCAGCAATTGATTTTGTTTAGTACCTGCAAGTTGGATCAACCTACGTCCCACGTATTGCACCATACAATCATTTTTATAAAGGGTAAATTAAACTAACACTTGTGACGTTTTTGTTTAATATAAATTTTTTCAAATTTGAAAAATTATACTTATTTTTTTGACAAATTAAAATGTTATATTTGTCCCTTAATTTTTATACATATAAAATAATAAAATAATACTGATATTTTGTTCATGTCATTTCAAGAGAAATAACAATCATCTTCTTTAGTTTAACTCACACAAAAAATTAATTTTTTTATTTTTGGTATTTTTTTATTTTTACTGAATTTTTTTAATATTTTAAGCAATTTTTTTTTTAATTTTTTAGATACATTTAATCTAGATATACTTAAGAAGTATAATATTTTGTGATTTTTTTTAAATTCACCAAATACAAAAATATATATATATAAAAATTCAGTAATATTGTAATAAATGTGAATGACGGTGTTTGGTAATACTGTAATAAATGTGGGTGAATAAACGAGAAAAAAATTTCTGGTGGAAATAAAAATGAAAATTTTATTCATATATAAAAATTTATACAAAAAATATCATAAAAATATTGTGATAGTTATGTTGTTGTAAATATAAATCATATTTATGGATATTTTGTTTTAAAGCGAAAGGTCACCATTAAGCTATATCATTGTATTTGAAAATTTTATATAAAATTTATGATTGTATATCGTCACTTAATAAGAATATGTTCAGGTAAAATTTAATTATGAAAAGTTTTAGAATGTAGTCATAATCATAGGAAGAATAAATGGTAGAAAAATAGACAAAATGATTATTTAAAAAGTTTTAGGGTATAATATTATTAATCCAAGAGATAATTTATAATGAGATTACAAACTTCAAAGACGTAAATGTAATTTTTTAAATATGAAGAAATCTGTATTAAACAAAAAACTTAGGCATATCAGTTTAATATATATGTAGCTGCACTGCACCATAATCCTACAACACATTATTTTTTAACACACAAAAAGGAACCATTGATTGCTGATGCTGATCAAGATGTCACTTGTTTTAATTTCTTTAACTTAGACACGAGGCCGAGGTGTAGCTCCTGTGTTGGAAAAAGAATGAGCTGTGAGCCGACTCGGAAGCATCAGTGGAACTCTGTCCATTATTATCTGATGCACCCACTTCCACAGCATCTGAAGTCGGCGGCTCAACAACTCACCTGAAGAAAACAATACGAAGAGAGAGTAGAGAAGAGAACCAAGTGAGTCTGGCAAAAGAATTGAAGCCAGAGACACCACAGCAAGCCAACCAAACACCACCACACCGCGACGAGCAAGAAATTGGTAAGTTTGCCAGCGGTGAGTTGCAGAAGATCTCAGTTCAGCGTCGTAGGCGAAGCAATACAGAAGCAAACTAGCAAATGCAATACCCATGGATTTGGGGTGAGTTTCAAATGGATATATTTCCATTTTTTGGTACTTAAGCTGGATAAAGTTGAGGATCAGTGGAACAATAAAAGCAAAAACGGAATGACAGGAAGAGAAATTATTAAGCTGTTCTTGTTGGGAGAAGTAGTAACGTAAGCCGATAATGGCAACGTTGACTTGTCCAAAGAAATTTCTGTGTGTGTTGTGTATAGGTGGTGTTGTAGTAGTAGTAGTTTCGGCCATTGATTTAGTTACAAAGAAAGAAGAATAAGAGTAGATAGGATAGGAAAAGGATGAAGGAATAAGGATTCCTAACATACAAAAATCAAAGTTGATGTCAGTGTTTCAGATACTAACATATCTTTCTGAAATGCATTTCTATAGACTGATGTTGTTGTGGTATGTGCCATCACTGCCATGCTTATTGTCCTTATAAAATTCTTGACGTTGACAAGCCCAAACGAGGAATTGCCAATTATATCATGCCTTGATAATAACACCATATGTCATTTTGCTTATCAATATACATGTCATTTTTTCTAGTCAATCTCAATTTTGCAATTAAAATTTTGTGATCTTTAGGTTGATTTGGAAATAACTTAAAATAGTAGAAAAGTCATTACAAAAAAAAGTTAAATTTTTTCAATATTTTTATAGTTATTTTTTCGTAAAAAATTAAAAAATCAATTAAAATAGTCAATTTTTAAAATAACCCTCAATGTGCATCATCCATACAAGTGATTATCTTTTCTTTCTTTTTTTTAATTTTTATTTTTTATTTCATCTTGTGTTTTACCAAATAGCGAAGGCCAAAATAACTACATGCCCCCTAAAATAAAAAATAAAAAAATTATTACTAGATGGGCGTACACAACTAAATGATCTTCCCGACCCATATAGTAATATGCATAAAATTCTTTTTGTCAACATTTTGGAAATACATTGTATGACTTGTGAATAATGCAGTATATAAATTTGATGAGAGTAATGCAACTACCACACAAATAAATACACCTATTACCTTGTTTGGTTTCAGAAAATTGAGTCTACTTAAAAAAAATAAATAAAAAAAATAAAAAAAACTTTATTTTTCATATTTTTTTATTTTTATTAAGAAATTTTAATATTTTAAAAAAAATTATTTTTATTATACACCTAACCTGGATACACTTAAAAAGTACAATATTTATGATTTTTTTTATTAAAAAAATTCATCAAATAAAAAAAATAGTATATTTTCATATTTTTGTGTATTTATTGAATTTTTTCACAAATATTTTTTAATTTTTAGGTGCATCTAGAAAGTAAAAAAATTACTTAAAATATTTTTAAAAAAACTAAAAACGAAAAATACAAAAAACAAAATTTAATTTTTAAAAAATCAATCAAAACCAAACAAGGTGACTCACTTGTTCTAACTCAAAAGTTGGATTCACTTTTTAAATCAAGTGATCTACTAATCTATTATAAAATCTAAGACAATTCTTTCTTTCTCATATTTCTCTAATCATCAATAAATCATGGTTCTTACACATATCACTAAGTTTAGAAAGTAAGTCTAAAAAGTAAACTCATATATTATTTTGTATAAAAGAAAAAAAAGGAAAAATATGCACATAAAAATATTTGTATCCCAAATTTATGTATCAAAATATTAACTATTAATTATCTATAAAGTATATGGAGGCTTGGCATATTTAATTTTTTTAAAGAATTTCAATTAATTAATTAAGGGTGAATTATAATAATAATTCCTATAGTTTGGGACTTGTGTCACTTTGGTCCCTGACTTTTCAATTGTGACACATTTGACAATGAATTTTGAATCTTGTTTCAAATAAGGACAATTGAAAATATTATTAGATTTTTCAAGAGTAAAATTGTCAATTTGATAAAATATAAATTAATTTGACAAAAATAAATGTTAAACAAATATTTTTGAATTTTTAAAAATTATTTCTACACACTAAAAATAAAATTATGTAAACCTGATAAATCTTTTAAACATTTATTTAGTTTTTTTATCAAATGAATTTTTATTATATGTTTGGATGATAATCATGTAAAATTAATTTTAAAAAATTGATCAGGTAGTTTTTATTAATTTTTATCAATTTTACATAATTTTATCATTGGTGGATAAAAATAATTTTAAAAAAATTAAAAATATTTTGACTTTTATTTTTGTCAAATTAGTTTATATTTTATTAAATGGACGATTTTGCCCTTGAAATTAAATAATGGTATCTTCAATTGTCCTCATTTGGAACAAGATTCAAAATTTAGAGTCAAATGTATCACAATTGAAAAGTCAGAGAGTAAAGCTACACAAGTTCCAAACTATAGGAAATGTTAGTGTAATTTGCCCTATTTATTAATGTGTGTTTTTGTTTGTACTTTTGTTAATCTAGGAATTGGAATTTAAGGCCTTGTTTGTCATGATCTAAAAAAATCAAAAAGTCACTATCTTATTTAAGTCATATCACCTCTCTAACACATCACTTCAAACACAACCTATACTCAACCCATATTTGATAAAAAGTTAAAAAATACATTTATTTAGATCACCTCAAATCACCCTGAGTATTTTCCCCCTCTATGTCAATGTATACGTGTCGAAGCTTGTCATTTGTTTTTTTATACGTCACTCAGAGCATCTCCAACAATTGTTGCTATAATGCAATTGCTATTGCTATAATTTGACAATGAACAGTGTTATTTTGTCAAATTATAGCAATAATGCTCCAATGGCCCTTTGCTATTTTAACAAATCTCAACCAACTTTTCCTCTAAATTTGTAGGTGTTCTTTGGATATAGATTTTTTTGTGATTTTATTTGTGTTTATTTTTTGTCTTTTATGACATTTTTTTTACTTGTTTGTAAAAAAAAAATTATATATTTATATTATTCCCAATCTGACAAATATAAAAAATGAAAAAAAAATTTAAAAATTGGAAAAAATAAATAAATATAATTAGTCAACATATAATATAATTCACCCCACCAAAAATTTAAATTGTACTAAAAATTAGTCAACATTATACATTACAAAAATAATATTACATTGTGGGTATTTGGGAAGTGGATTTTGTTGTTGGTTTTTTTAGTTGTAGGATATTATTGGAGAAAAAAACATTTGTATTTGGGAAGGTAGTTGGGTTTTTTTGTTGTTGGGCATGATGTTTGTGAGAGAAAAAGTGAAATGATTATGGGGTTGATGTGATATTTTGTTTGGATTAGTTTTTTTTTTTTTTTTTGTAATCAATTTGTCTTTTAGCGAAAAAAACAAAAAAACTTCATTCCCAAACACTGCCATAGTGTACCCCAAATTGTGCCTAAATTAAAGTAAAAGAGAAAATTTATGAATGAAATAGAAATTAAATTTTTGAGCAAAATGTTTTTTTTAAGCTGTGATTTTGGTTATTTGCACTTCAATCCCTATACTTGAGAATTTTTTTTTTTTTTTAAACCAAACAGATCATAACGGCTATTTTAAGGGAAGAATAGAAGATCACAACTGTCCACGTCTAAAATGTTCAACGGTTGAGATGATTCTCTAGAATCATCCAACCCTCTCCACTCACTCTCATCACACTATCTTTCCTCTCACTCTCCTCAAATCGATCTCTCTCTCTCTCTCTTTCAATCTCGCATTGTCTTCCCTCTCCTCAAACCGATCTCGCTCTCTCACTCTCGCATTGTCTTCCCTCTTTTCACCGATCTCTATACGCTTCTCTCTCTCTCTCTCTCCCTCCGTCTATATACATATCATATATATATATGCTTGGATTTTTTGTTTATTTTTCTGGTTATTGATGTGGAGGTGGTCGCGATTTTTCAAACTCAGGTCTCGCGATGGCTTCAAACCGAATCTTCGAAGAACTCAAGCATCTCCAGATCTTCGAACAACTCAGGTCTATACTCTCCGATTTTTCGTAATTATTTATTTTGATTTTTGGTTTAATTTTTGTTGATCCAACTATTTTGTTCATCCATTTATTTTATTTTGACATTTATTTTGACCTTTAAAGAACATCCATCTGATTTTGGTTTGGTTTATTGTCATAAAATCCATTTGATTTTTACACTCCCATTTGCATCGACTGATTTGGTGATAAATGATTAAAAAAAATGATTCTGAAAAATGATTTGGGTTTGATTCTGAAAACGAACAAAAAAAATGATTCTGAAAAATGATTTGGTGATAAATGATTTTGTGAATTTGGCAAAAAAATTATATAAATTGGGTTTGATTCTGATATTTGGGTTTGATTATGAATTTGTTGGGTTTTCTACTATTTCAAATTTGTTTCTTCAATTGAATTTGGTGCCAAAAAATCAGTTGATAATTGCTGATCTGGCAAGTTCGGCAACTGCTATTCAACCTACCAAATTTGAGAATAGAAATGACATATGCTATCTTTGACAAGTAGAATAACAGGCCATTAAAGACTCTATTTTTATCGTTCTTGTCAAATTTTAACTTTGACAAGTTGAATAACAACTCCATTAGAGACGTCCTCACTTGTTGAATTTATGTATCAAACCTTGTCATCTGTTTTTTTTTTTTTCGCACTCACTCGTTAAATTTATGTGTCGAAGCTTGTCATTTATTTTTTTATACGTCAGTCACTTGTTGAATTCACTTTTTAAATCAAGTGATCTATTAGCTTATTATAAAATCTAAAGCAATTCTCTCTTTCACATTGGAATGTGTACGAACAGGGTTAGAAAATTTTAGATGGATGTAGACATTGTCTGACTCTGGGCCATCACCCCATCAATCACTATCACCACTTCAATCTTTGGACCTGATAACACCCTAACATGATTTGTAGTTCCAAAAATGCTAACATGATTTGTAGTTCCAAAAATGCTTCCGACCTCTAAAACTTGATCACTAAATCACCACTAATGACGTGGCCGCCAACGTGAAAAGCTGAGGCAAACTCGCCCATTTCTCCCTCTTTTCATTTCAAATTTCAAATTCATTTTCACAAAACATTTGAAGACTCACTCTCTCTATTCTTCCTTCTCTTCTCTTCTCTTCTCTTCTCTTCTCTGCTGTGCCTCTTTGTCGAGGAGCTCCCAACGAGGGTAGCTCTCCAACCCCGGCGACGATTGAGGTTGAACGCAGCTTTTACAACCCCGACGAGCGCAGCTTCTCACGAGAACGACGAGCGAGTCACGCACGACGACCGACGACGACCGAGTCACTCTCCGTCTTCACAGATTTGTCTGCGCAGGTCAGTTCTCTCTCTCTCTCACTCTATATATATATATATATATGTATCTATATCTATACGCCCTGATTTGTTGAGATTTTTGACTTTGATTTCATGCCCTGATTTATATCTATGTATATATCTATATCTATATGCCCTGATTTGTGTCTTTCACTTTGATTTCATCTGTTTAGGACGATTTTGATTTTGATTTTGATTTTGGTTTGCCCCAATTTTACATTACATTGGATTTGCCTAAAAAATCTAAAATATATATTTGGTGGAGAATATATAAAATTGTTTAATCATCCTTGAAGCCACTGCCAAATCTTTCTTGGATTTGCATTATTGATTTTCCTTATGTAAAAATAGCAGATTAGCTTTCATTCTTGATTTTCCTTATGTAAAAATAAGAGAACCCTTTTCTACTTACTTGTTTTTGTTGGTAATTATTTTCTAGTTTCTGGTGCATACCCAGTTGGTTTATTGTGCTCTATTTATGTTTTTCAAATTTTCTTTGTTTTTATGTCTATTCAATGCTATTTTTTTAAAAGTTTATATTTAGTAATCTGCTTGAACTTTGTGTTATGTGGTTTTGTCAAAATGCAAGGAACCCAATGCTCTATGTAGTAGCATGCATTGCTGACTGTACCCAGAATTTCCAGAAATTCTTATGCTAAATGCAATTGCCTTGCTGCTTGTTTGACATTTCTTCAAAGGTTTCTTAAGAGTTAATCGCACATTCTCAGTAGTTGGAGAATGATGTGAGGTATGATGTTGATCTGATATTGGTTTGGTAATAGTGATGATGCCAAATTGTATGTATTAGTGCTATTTGATTATTCTTTTCATGCTTTTGTTAGCTGTATTAGCATTATTTTTTATTTTCTTCAATTGGGAATTAGCAAGTGTCCACTCCCAACCTTGCTTAGCTTCTGACATTAGAAAAAAGGGGGGAAAAGAAGGAAAGCCATCCTTTCTTGATTTTCATTTATGTTTAACTTTTAACATCCAAATGCATATTAATAGTTCTTTTTTATTAGGGACCTTTTGCTGTTATTAGTTTCTATGACCAATCAGTATAAAATTGGAGGCTTTGGCACCATCTCTATTTCATTATCAACTGATAAACTGTTAGCTCGAGTGGTGTCTCCAGGCACCCTCCTCAAGTGTAACTTATGAGCAAATGAAATTTCTTATCTAATTTTTGATTTGGCCAAAGATGCTATCCTTGTACATGGATGTTATTAGCAGTGGTTTCTTATCCTGTATATTTTATTTTTTCTATCATAACTTAATAGTGCCTATAGAGCAGCAGCTGGCTGTTTCGAATCGAAAGCTATATGACTTCTCCTCCCCCACTTGCGTCGCAGTTTTGTAAACAATAAATTTAATTAAAAAATTCAGATCAATGATAAAGTTTACAAACTTCAATAATTAAAATTAAGAGACCTGCAGAAACTGTTAGAATTAAGAGACCTGCAGAAAAAGGAATTGGAAGCATTGAAAAGGGCACCCAAGACATGGAACTAACAACTGCATAATACATAGTAAGTAAAGCATATGTGCAATTTAGCTGAAATTTTCTGTAATGGAAATGTGTAAAAGCTTAGATGATTCAAAGAATGAAGCATCTGGTTGAAATATAAGGGTCAAACAGGATCTCGAAATCAAATTTTATCTTTTTAGAAGCATGAAGCAGACATGTTTCTGGAAATAGGTTCAGGTTGAACTTTTTAGAAGGATGAGGCAATTTTGATAACTTGAACTTGTAAAGAGTTAGTTTAAGGTTGTGTCATTCCATCATTCCTTCACATAAGAGTCATGTCACAAGGGAATATGAGGAGCACACAGCAATGAGGGAATATGACTCAAATATGAAAGCCACTAATACATTGAAACCATGCTGTCACAGTGCTTACTTACACTTGCATAGAAGTCTTTCACGTTCTAATCAGAACAAAAATAAAAATAAAAAATATGTTACTTATAAGCCAATACCCTACAACAACAATTTCTCCAAATTTTCTTACAGGTTTGTCAACTTATTCAAATTTCTAATTGCTGTAGGAAGAGGTCCTAAGACTAATACACTAACTGATTGAGATTTTGCTTCATATTTTTGCAGATGTCAACTTCAAGTGTTAACGGCAGTACATCAGATCAATTGACATATTGCAATAGAAATTGTCCTCAATGTCGGAAAAAAGCGAACAATGAACAATGCACCAACTGTCACCGAACAACTTCAAAGTATGGGCGAACATCTTCGATTTCAAAGCGAACAACTTCAATTCCAGAACACACAGATGCAAAAATTGCAAAGAGACATAAATAGAAATTCGTGTTGTATTAATGGGATCTTCATCTTGCTTGTAATTGGTGTTATGTTAATTATGAAGATGTAATAATTTTTATGCAACTTAGAAGATGTAATTGGTATTGTATTAATTATGATGATGATATGTATGAAGATTTATGATATATTACAGTTATGGATTGAGAAGTATGAATATGTAATCATGTGGATTGTTTATTATCTGATTGGAATTTTGAAAGTTAACTGTTTGTTTGTTTGAACACATATTATGAACACAATTTCTTCACATATTTGGACAGATTTTGGACTGATTTGGAACATAGATTCTGTTTGTCTGGTTGAACATAGATTATTGACAGATTTGGACAGATTTGGAACTAATATTGTTGATGGATTGTGAATAAAATTTGTTCACACATTCTTGACAGATTTGGACACATTTTCAACACAGATTCTATTTATCTATTTTTGACACAGGTTTTTGAAGACAGGTTTGAAGACATTTTTTCACACAGGTTTATTCACACAGTTTTGAAGACAGATTTTTGAACACTGGTTTTTCACATAGTGATGAAGACATTTTTTTCTCACTGATTTTTCAAGACAGATTTGGAACACATTTTTGACACAGATTTTTTGGAACACAGATTTTGGAACACAATAAATCTGTAACAGATTTGTAACAGACAGAGTACAAATATAACAACGTCAATTGGGAACATTAACTATAACAACAAAGTAGGGAACAACATTAATTTGTTCTCAACCAAAAAATAAAGAAACTGAACAATTCAAAGATACATTAAATAAATTATCCATAACAAAATAAACTCCAAGTTTAGTCACATAAAAGGCATTACAATTACAAGTTTCCACCTAACAAAAACTACCACCACAGTCATTGCGGTCCATTTGTACATTCAAGTCAACAAATGAAGACGGTACGGCTCCATAAATTTGATGCGTAGCAATCATGGATTGTTGAGTTCTCATAAATCCTGATGTGCCTCCAATACAGTCCGACGAGGTAAGCGATGTGCCGACTCCATAAATCTGAGTTGGGGCATCTATGAAACTTTGTCTTCTCATAATGTTCACACTTGCCGGGGTGAGAGATGTGCCTCCAATAGCATTGACCATTTGGCATAAAATGCGTACACCTTTTGCTTTGAGCTAAAACACATACCCCTCTTTGGTTCCTCAACTTCTTCACTCTCATTTAATAAAGGATTCTCACCACTATTCGAACCAATCTCCCAATTCAATTTTCTGCTCATTCAAAATACCATATGAAATCAAATGATTTGATAGATTAATAGAATAATAGAACCAAGCTATTCTGTTATTAATCTGTTTTACTTACACATATACATACAGATTAACAGATGAAACCAATCTCCATTTCTGTTATTAATCTGTCACTTTCTTTATTTATATTTTCCTAACAAATAAATAATCTGTTTCTAACAATGCAAGCTCTTGAACAAATTATAAACATATTACCCTTTCTGTAGACTATAACATATTACCCTTTCAAAAATATCAGAGCTTCAAATGGTAACAATTTCTAATTTGTAAGAGCTCAAATTGTAACATATAACAGATTAACAAATTATAACAATTCTAACAATGCAAGCTCTTACAATTTGAGAGCTATACAATTTCTGCTTAATTTGAGTTTTAATCTGTTAATTAGCATTCCCAAATATGCTAAACATGTTGGAAGCTCCTGTTAATTTGATGCTAATATGTTAATATGTGAGAAGCTCCTGTTAAAATATGCTAATCTGTTAATTTGAGTTTTACTCTGTTAATTGCCATTCACAACTTCAGTTTTAATCTGTTAATTAGCATATTTGGCATTCTCAATCTGTTAAGCTATACAATTTTTGTTAATCTGCTATGGAAATTATAAGCTTCAATGTATATTTCATTACATATTTGGCATTCTCAAAATCCTATTTATATATATCATATATATATATATGAATTATGTATGTAAATGTGTAAGTATAACAGGGAGAGATGAACAAAAGCCACAGATAAACTTACCTAGACGAGGGACGACAATCAGAGAGGGAGACGCTGGACGAAAGACACCGAGACGGTGCACTAACTTGAATACGTCGGACCGTGGTGGAGAGGGACGGCGGAGGATGCTTGAGCAAGAGAGGAAAGATGCTTGAGCAAGACAAAGACGGGGACGGAGACACGATTTCACTCCCTAGAATAGAGCTTTAGCGGAAAGACATGATTTCTTCTCCCTATCAGATTTTTGAGCAGATTTTTTTTTTTTTTGCACAGTGCCGTAAACACACGCACTGTCATATGAAGGTCTGATTTCCTTCCTTCTTTGATGCCACGTAATTAGAGCTCTTCCTAGTGGTCATGGTTTTAGTGTCTGAATCGGAACTGTTTGTAGTTCCACTGGCCCTTTCACAAGCCAGCGGTGATGGGTAATTTAAGGAAAAATGAGTTAGACCCCTTTTGTGGAGGATCCCCACGACCTCCTCACTGATTTATATCACTTCATGATGTGTGGGGTCCACTCATGTATATGTGTGGTCCACATCATGAATGGTGTAGATCACAAGGGGGTTGTGGGGTCCTCCACAAAGGGGTCCCTATCATTGCTGAATTTTAAAAGTAAGGTCTAAGTGGTTTTTTCAGTTAAAATAATTATTAAAAAATTAAAAAATCAATAATTTAATATTAAAAAATTAAAAACAAAAATTCTCTTTATTTTTATTATTTTTTATAAAAAATTAAAAAATTATCTCAAATAAATTAATTTTTTAACTCATATTTTAGTCAAATAATTCAAAAATTATAAATTAGCATGTTTTCAAACGAAACTTACGTTTCTAACTGACTTGACAATTTAAAAAATAAATAATAAATAAAATCAAAACACGACATCAAAACAGAGACTCACACAGTTATCACATCATTAAAACTGGTTTAGAGCCGTTGCCTAGAGGTGGGAGACATTTTTTTTTCCTTTTTTCTTTTCTTTTTTTGTGGGATCAACGGAAGCAAGGAGACATTTTTCTTTCACAAACCCATTGGTGCGCGCCGTGCAATCACATTGAATTGTTAACCGAGCTTTTGGGGTTTTTTTTTTAAGGTCCTTGATCTTATGATTTTATAGCATAAGACATCAAATATTTTTAATGATGTCTAAGGTCATCAACAATATTTTCATATGTCTAAGGTCCCTACCTTGATCCAAGAGAAATTTTCAAGTCCAAGAAAATTGTCCAGAGAAATTTCAGTCCAGAGAAAATTGGCTCAGAGAAATTCAGTCCAGAGAAAATTAGTGCAAGAGAAATAATTATCGTGCAGAGAAAATTTCAGTCCAGAGAAAATTGGTCCAGAGAAATTTTAGTCAAATTTTCTCTCGAAAATCTAATATTCTCAGAATTTTATGCAGAGGGACCACACATACACCATGCATATTTTTGGTGAAATGTTTGTGCGACATGATAATCAAGAAATGTCTTTTTTTCTTGAAGAAAGTTTACGAATGATTTTTTTTGTTTCCCCTTCCCTTTTATCACTTGATTCAAGTTCTTCCCAATTCTAAGAAAAAACAATGTATTGGCTGTAAATTCAAATTCTTTCTACCATTGTGTTTCGTATACAATTCGTGGCCTTTATATTTCCGCTTCAGTCTTCCATTAATGGGAGAGTTCTGCAACTTCTTCAGCGCCGAATCATGACCATTGTCAATCACCTCACGTCAACAGAGAAAATTGGTCCAGAGAAATTCTGGGAAGAATTTCTCTGGACAACCCTAATAAAATTTAGTTCAAAAATCAAAGAATTTCTCTGGTTTCAACCTAGAGAAAATTCAATTCAAAAACCAGAGAATTTCTCTGGTTCAACTTCAAATGAAAAAAAAAAAATTCAAATTCACAATTTGCAACCTGGAATGCTTAATTTGAAACCCAGAGAATTTCTCTGGACTAGCATTGCTATTGCTTGTGGTGAACCCAACACAACTGGATTCCAGCACTTTTCCTACAATCGCTAATGCTTAAGCCCGAATTATCGTCACGGTCACTGGATTCGGCCGTAGTTGGAAGTGAAGGGCTCGGAGCAATAATGAGAGATAAAGGACGTTTTACTTGACTACTTGCCTCTTGTAGAACACAGAGATGCTGAGGTTTTGAACTCCAGGTTTATCTTCTTGTTTCGACATCTTCATCAACCTCTATACAGTAACTAAACAGCACAATGCTGCACAAACTTTTATTACCAAGAAAACAACAACAATACCAAAAGCACACATATACAAGAACATATCATTTGTGTAGTTTGACAGATAAATACAAGCTGTAGAAGGGAAATTGAATCAGTAGACTCAACTAGTTCAGGAGAAAAATTCGATCTAGAGACTCTAGACGAATTTTTCTCTGGACTTCACAGAAATTCTAGTTTACAGAGATTTTCTCTGGTCCAATTTTCTCTGACTTCACATTTCAAGAAATTTCTCTGGTCCAATTTCTCTGAACTTCACATTTCACACAGAGAAATTTCTCTGGTCGAATTTTCTCTGGACTTCACAAGAGAAATTCCTCTTCCATTTCTTGTTCTTTTGCATCTTGCTTCCCAGATTGATCATCACACTTGTTCATTGTAAGGTGCAAATCTAAAGCATTAGGGACAGAAGAGTAGGGAAAGTGTATGAAATAGACTGTAAAGCTAACGGAATAGTAGGGAAAAACAGGGATGATGAATTAAAATGAAATTAAAGGGTTCAAAGAACTTGAAAACCCTAGAATGAGAAAGTGTATGAAAGAGGAGGAGGAAGAGGACCTCGTTGATTATCGCCCTACATGTCCACAATTCCACTTCTTGGAGAGCCAATTAAGCATTC